CAGTATATGCCCACAGTTCTTCCTACGTGGTTTTTTTTGTCCTTGGTGTTTTTTTTTTCGTTTGTCTCTTATAAACATATTTGTGTATACACACACGCATATATATATATATATATATTTTTAATTTTTTATTTATTTTTTTTAATCGCAACTGTTCAGAATGTTCCTCCACAGCCCTTCACTCCCTAAGTCAGGCCAGCCGCCATGCCCTCTCTTCTTTTCCACGCCCCGTAGCTCCCCAATCTCCGACGTGGCCCCCGCCCCCCGGTGACCTTGTTGGCTTTTCAGAGCCCCTTAGTCGGTCTGAAGGTCCACTTTTCCCGCCTTTCGGATCGGAAAATTGTCCCCGCCCCGGGCCCGAGATCCCGGCTGAGAACGCCTAAGTGGGGTCCCCTTATCTCTGGCTTCTAAAAAAAAAACCCAAAACCCACCAAGGTCAGAAGAAAACCGGCTCAGTTAGGCCAGGCCCCAGGCTCGCCAGAATCCCGAAAAGCCGCCTGCTCCCCTCCCCCTAGGTCTCAAGTGCCGGGCGGAGGCCTCAGGGGGGTAAACTGGGGAGTTGCGCGCTCAGCGCAGACTGAGGTGAAAGCACTAGGGGCCGCCTAACAGGACTTGGTAGCTAACAGTCCGCTTAGTAACGGGCGGCGCCCGAGGGGTTTTGTTGCGTCCACCTGCGTTGAGGCTTACGGCCCGGCCCACTCAGCCCAATCAGGGTGGCGGAGCGCTACTCAACATCTCTGGGCGGTTGGGAGCCGAAGGCAAATGGCATTCCTAGCACCGCACACGGGTGGGGACGGCGCTTACTACCGCGACAAGTGGCGTTGTCAAGCAGCTGGCTACTGTCAACAGCTCTTTTATTTGAAAGAGTGGGTGGCTCTGAAAAGAGCCTTTTGATTTCACAAGTACTGCCTCTTCGAAACGGGGGGCTGGGTGGGCGCCAAGCGCCGGCCTCACTTGCCCTTTGCCTTGTGGTGACTCTCCGTCTTCTTAGGCAGCAGCACGGCCTGGATGTTAGGCAAAACGCCGCCCTGGGCGATGGTCACTTTGCCCAGCAGCTTATTCAACTCCTCGTCGTTGCGGATGGCCAGCTGAAGATGACGAGGGATGATGCGCGTCTTCTTGTTGTCTCGGGCGGCGTTACCCGCCAGCTCCAGGATCTCGGCGGTCAGGTACTCCAGCACGGCCGCCATGTACACGGGCGCGCCGGCCCCCACCCGCTCGGCGTAGTTGCCTTTGCGCAGCAGCCGGTGCACACGCCCCCACGGGGAACTGCAGACCAGCGCGGGAAGAGCGGGACTTGGCCTTAGCGCGGGCCTTGCCTCCCCTGTTTGCCACGACCAGACATGACGGCGCTGGGCACTGCGAGTAGCTCCCGACCGACGACCGAGAAAGTCGCCCTAAACCGCCCCGCTTCAGCTTTTTATAGGCAGAACGCCGATTGTCCATCGAGCGCTTTGATTGGCCCCAGCGCAGCTTTGTGCCGACGGCCAATAAGAGAGCGCAGGGAGAATCCGCTCATTTGCATGAAGCCTCCCCCACCCCCTCGCAGGAGCGCCGCTGGAAACTCACCAATCACAATGCAGCGTACTCGGAGCCTTAATTTGCATACATCCTCTATAAGTCCCGAGTCGCTTCCGGTAGCCTCGCTCCTGCTGTTGTCGTGTTTGCGTTCCTGCTCTTTTTCTCTGCTCGCGCGTCCCGCCCGCTATGCCTGAGCCGGCCAAGTCCGCTCCCGCGCCCAAGAAGGGGTCGAAGAAGGCCGTCACCAAAGCCCAGAAGAAGGATGGCAAGAAGCGCAAGCGCAGTCGGAAGGAGAGCTATTCCATCTACGTGTACAAGGTGCTCAAGCAGGTGCACCCCGACACGGGCATCTCGTCCAAGGCCATGGGCATCATGAACTCCTTCGTCAACGACATCTTCGAGCGCATCGCCGGCGAAGCGTCCCGCCTGGCGCATTACAACAAGCGCTCCACCATCACCTCCCGGGAGATCCAGACGGCCGTGCGCCTCCTGCTGCCCGGCGAGCTGGCCAAGCACGCCGTGTCCGAGGGCACCAAGGCCGTCACCAAGTACACCAGCTCCAAGTGAGCCCCTCCCGGGACGCGGCGCTCGCCCGAGTCGCCGGCCGCTTGACCCCCAAAGGCTCTTTTCAGAGCCACCTACCTTCTCAGCAAAAGAGCTCGTGCCACTCGTCTTACTCCCACGCCTCCACCCTGCTTCCCCGTGCCACCTACCCCCGTTCGTTTCCCGGTGGAAATGTGGTCTCTTCAGGGGCACGGGTGAGGTAGGTGCCCCTGAAGCAGAAGGCCAGTTGTACTTAGCTTGCCGGACAGCTACCTAGAAGGGCGTGTCCATTCGCGGCCAAGTGAACTGCCTCCACAGTACCAACGTCTAACGGTGCCTGGTCCTCAACCTATTGAAGGCCATCTAATGGAGGGGTAGTGGGCCGGGAGGCAGGGTTGGCTCTGTGCCACTTAGGTCAGGTCAGTGCTTTGGAACCCACTCTTTCCTTGGGCTCTGGAAGCTTTGTTACGAAATGCTACTGGAAAACTGCAAAGCAATACTCGAGGCCATGCCTCAACACCCACAGCAAACTTTTCCGGTGTGCCCCGATACCTTGATTCCATGCTCAAAGTGAGTTTTACTTACTCTTCCTGTCTGTCTCGGTTTCGCATTCCTTTCGGGTACACAATTCAATACACGCGATTGCTCTGCTTCGACAAGTGAACTGCTGTCACATTAAGGTAATAGAAAGGCTACTGTTTCTAATCCTTCCCCCCGCCCCCGCCGCCCCCCCCCCCCCCCCCCCCACCACACATACACACTCGGTCCTCGATACCTACACAGTCCCCCATACTTGTAGGGTTTGTTGCTTTCTGTTTTGTTTTTTTCTTTTTCTGTTGTAACAATCTAGATTAGGAAGTCAGGAGGGAACGGGAATTCCTAGGTGTTCAGGGACTTCATGGACCTGTGTCGGCTTGTCCTAAAACGTCCTCCAGAGACTTCCAACAGCAGTTTTTAATCTTAACACTACTCGGCCTGAAAAACATTTGTCCCTTGCCTGGAACGGTTCATCCTCTCTGCAAAAATAGAGGCACCAGACATACGAGAGCAATACCGAGGCCCTCTCCGTTTTTGAGACTAGTCGGCTCCAAAGAAGTGTTTCCTAAAACGGTTCAAAGGCGATTAGACCCTGAACCAGACAACGTTTCCACGAAAACCCCGAGGACAGCCACCGAATCCCACATCACTGGGGCACCGGTGGTGAGAGGCAAGGATGACGGACCTATGGAACACAGCAGGTGACTCAGGGTCCGCAACCGCTGGCGCGTTGCTTTGGCAGTTGCCATATTCCTTGGGAGGATCCCCTTCACGGTTTTGAGTCACGACCCCAGACATTTTCTTGCCCTTTTTCCTAACTGTCCTTTCCCAGAATTGTTTGGAAGGCTACATACACACAAAATTAGCTGCACTTCCCCTTCATTCCTTCATTAATTCAGGGCACCAAATATACTACTTTACATTTCTACCCTTATTAGAGTTCAAGAACATTTTCAAGAGGTCAAATGAGAGCAGAAGGTAAAGCACAAAATAAAGACATAAAACTGAAACTCCCTACCGAAAAAGAAAAAGAAAGAAAGACGGTAAGCACACTGCAGCAAGGTCCTAGCTCATCCCCTGGCTTTGGCTCTTGTTTGTGTGTTTCTTACGTACCTACGCAAAACCCCAAATATTATCTCCCGGCATGATTTCCCGTACTTGCTGTCTACTCCACCCAATCAAGTACAGATAACGTATTTCCTAGTTACTGTGCTAAACCTGTCCCTTCTCCCCGGTGCTTTGTCCCGGGCCCCAGGAAACGCCTCCCTGCTTTTTTGCACATCTCGAAATGAGGCCGATAACTGGCCTCAGGAAAAGCATGGAGATGGGAGAGGAGGAAGAGGGGGGCAAAAAAAAAAAAAATAGGGGAGAGATTGCATTTACAGAGTAGGAATATAACAAAAAATACACATGAAAAATAAAGGAAAGAAACCGACCAAACGCGCACGTCCGCATGTGCCTTCACACTCAGGTGCGCGCACGCGCGCGCACACGCACAGAGCTTAAGAGGCCGTGTCAACAACCAAATGTGCTGGGGAGGAAGTAGTCAATATCTGGTTCTGAGGACTCTCAAATATATGAGTAGCAAAGCAGAAAACAGCGAATCTTGCACTGACAGTGGAGATGTAACTAAATTACATCAATTACGTCAAGCAATAGTTCCATTCAGCACCCGACCTTTACACTTACACGTTTCAAAGCAAAACTGACACCCTGTTCTGGCTCTGTGATGAGTATTTGTGCACATTGCTTCCCGCAACAAGGGAGAGATTTAAAACAAACAAACAAACAAACAAACAAACAAAAAACCCACCCTTTTGTACCCTGAGATAAATAAAATCTCGCTGGGGATATAGCAGTAAACAGAATAGACAAGGTCCCTGTCCACATAAAGCCACGTACATCCTAGTAGAAGGACGCTGAAATAAGCAAATGAAAGAAATGTATAACAATGATATTAAGGGGGTGATGCGTGTTATGATGGAAAGCAGACTGTGGAGCGCAGCGTGGATGACAGGTCCAATCAGTATTTGAGCAGAGGCCCGAGTAAAGTACCATAGCGAGCCATAGGATAGCCTGGAGAAGAGTATTCCCACCCCGCCCCCCCCCCACCACCAAAAAAAGCCAGCAAGTTGCAAAGGCCCTGAGGCAGGCAAAATGTTGGGCAGTTCAAGGAATATACAAGGCTTCTGCGGCTAAAGTACAGTGAGGAAAGGAAAGATTCACAGAGACATGACATCAGAGCCGTAGTTGGTCACGCAGGCCATCGAAGGATCTCATAGGCCACTGCAAACAGTTTAGCTTTTATTCTCGATAACTTGGAGTGCCTCTGGAGACACTCCAAACCGGTTGGAGTAATGACATGATTTGACTCACATTTTCGAGAGCTCGACCGAGATGCTGCGTTAAAAAGGACACTAGGAGAGCGAGAGTAGAGGCAGAAAATGTATCAAAGAGGCCACAGTAACAGCATTTCGAGAGAGAGAGAGCTGGTAGCAGTGGAGACGGTGAGAAGTCGTCAAGCCTGGGAAAGCCTGGGAAATTGGTCGCTCATTTTGAAAAGGCACCTGGTCCGTCCCAAATTCAGTCTAATATGATCCCAGGGACACAAGAAGCGTTCTCTCTCTCTCTCTCTCTCTTCCCGCCCCCCCCCCCCCCAGTTACACGCTAGACCCCATGGGCTCACATGTTCTCTCTCCATAACCATGTGGCCTGCAGCCGGGGAGACTGGGCCTTCAGAGCACCAGGGAGCTAGCTAAGCTTCCTGGTAAGGGGCGGAGACTGTTTGTCTTGCAGCCACCTTGCGGGCTCCAGAGGGCTAAGCTTTCACGTGCGGAGAAAGCTCTCAACACTACCTCTTGTCTTGGCCTTGCCGAGGACATGGCTGGACTTCTTCCGTGGTGGGGCGTTGAGAACCCAGGGGCCAGTGGAGACGGTGAGAGGTATTCAGGATACATATTTAAATTAACTGAATGTAGATTATGAAGTATTGAGGACTGATTGCAGGTTTTTGGACTGAACACTTTGAAACAGCTGCCCTCTGCTGCTGGGTAACTTTGAGAAGCTTTTACACCTCAAGCGGATATCTGCCATTGGCCGTTGGAGCGGTACATCCATTTGCACACAAATGAACCATGTCAAGCCATAATCTCCCATGCATCTGTACGTGGAATGTTTTCTCTTTGATACACTGTAAGATCCTAATCTTTCCCTCAATATATCTAAACTAGTGTAATTACATAAATCACTGTTATCTCTAATGAATTTGGAAAATATAATGAAAAGCGGTATTACTCAGAAATCTACTTAAAGTATGTTAACTGAAGCATAGGAGGGCATTTTAAATATAAAGGAGTTAAAAATCTTATATGATCATATCTTGAAATTCTATGAAATTTTAAAATTAATATTCTCAATATTTTAGTAGGATTAATAAATTAAACAATAATGCCTATGAAAGTTATTTCTGTATTAGTTTTTAAAGTCTTTTTTTTTAACAATCCTAATTTGTTTTATTTTTTTCTACTTTTTTTCCTCCATTTTCCCACCACCACTTCCACCCACCCCACCCACCCCCACCTCCCACCTTCAATCACAATCCTAATTTTTTTAAATTTATTTTTTAAAATTTTTTATGCTGTTACAGTTGTTCTATTCCCCCCTTCATTCCCCTCCACCCTGCCCCCCTCCCCACCATACCCCCCTTTAGTTTATGTCCATGTGTCTCAAGTCCTTTAGGTTCTATATTTCCCATGCTATTCTTGCCCCCCCCCCCCATGTATTTTCTATCTACTGTCTATGCTACTTATTTTCTGTACCTTCTCCCCCCTTCTCCTCCTCCCACTCCCCTGTTGCTAACCCTCCTTGAGATCTTCTTTTCTATGTTTCCACTCCTGATCTAGCTGTCCTTTTAGTTTGCTTTCGTTTTAGGTGTGGTTGTTAATAACTGTGAGTTTGTTGTCCTTTCACTGTTCATGTTTCTTTAACTTCCTTTTCTTAGATAAGTCCCTTTAACATTTCATATAATAAGGGCTTGGTGATGATGAACTCCTTGAATTTGATCTTATCTGAGAAGCACTTTATCTGTCCTTCCATTCTAAATGAAAGTTTTGCTGGATAGAGCAATCCTGGTTGTAGGTCTTTGGATTTCATGACTTGGAATACCTCTTTCCAGCCCCTTCTTGCCTGTAAGGTCTCTTTTGAGAAATCTGTTGACAGTCTGATGGGGACTCCTTTGTAGGTGATTGTTCCCTTAGCTCTTGCTGCTTCTAGGATTCTCTCCTTCATTTTAATTTTGGCTAATGTAATCATGATATGCCTTGGTGTGTTTCTTCTTGAGTCCAACTTTTTTGGTACTCTCTGAGCTTCCTGGATTTCCTGGAAGTCTATTTCCTTTGCCAGATTGGGGAAATTTTCTTTTATTATTTGTTCAAATAATTTTTCCACTGGTGGTTGTGTCTTTCCCCCTTCTGGTACCCCTATAATTCGGATATTGGAGCGTTTAAAGATGTCCTGGAGGTTCCTAAGACTCTCCTCATTTCTTTGAATTCTTGCTCCTTGACTCTTTTCTGT